TCGCATTTCACATGCATTTTCTGGGCCAAAACACAGAAGCTGATCTATCACGTAGCCGTCTATGATTAAATCAAAATGGCTAATGCTTTAAAATGGACCCGAGTTAGAATTAGACACCATATTTAGGTTGGTACGACTGAAGGAAGCCGTGAGGTTGTTCAATGGACCTCATTTCGGAAACAACGAGCAGAACTGATGTAATTTGTCATGTAGATTTTCGCAAACTTGGTTTTATGAACATTCGCAAATTCATTCTGTATGCGCTTAATCTGAATGCAATGATTTCTCTTGAGTTTGTAAATCCAGTCGCGATTAAACGAACTCGCACGCTGGCAGAACGAATTTGGGTAAATAGTTTGTAAAACCAAATTGGTTTTCTTTACGTTTAAGTTCAGCAGTACAATTTAACAGAATTGATTTACAAATTCTGTACACAAATTTGTTCTGCTTGTGTTTAAGTTAAATGAAAATTTACCAAAGAATGGTTTTACGAACGTTCGCAAATCCATTCTGTGTGCGCGTAATTTGACGAAAGTTATGGACGAAAAAGGACAAAAAGCATGTAAATCCTGTCATGGTTAAATAATGCCAATGAAAGTAAACGCGAGCAGAATGAATTGAAGTAAATAGTTCTTAATTGTTTTCTTTGCGTTTAAGTTCAACAGTACTTGTGCTTGTGTTTAAATTATATGTGTGTGTGTGTCACAATTTGACCAAGAATGTGTAAACGGTTTGCAATTTGCAATTATAATTAGTTTTTTGTAACTATTCAATTCAATGCGACAAATGACAAAATAACTGATCTACGACTGATTAAGAACAATTTGCTTTATTTATGAAACAAGCAATGTACATCATTAATAAATCTATTTTTGCTTAAACTGTCTTACCGAATAAAAAAAAATGTCCATTTACGAAAGATTGCTTTTACGAAAAATTGAGCAAATTCCTACATCATCCATAAATCAATTCTTAAAGTAACATGACACCGAATTAAGAGTTCAATTATGCAAAAGTGTTTTTTTTTTCTTTGCGAATAATCTACAGTATGAATCAAGCTGAACAAATTCCTATCTGCATCGTTCATTAAAATACTGAATAAAAAAACGTAAATTTATGATATACGGATTTATTGCTTCACATAGTAATTGTCACGCACAAAAATAACGTTTTTTGGGCATATTTGTGTTTCATCAACTAAACGCCCGACGCAACAGAACGACCCTGAACAGACTGTTTTCAGTCGCTTCACATTAAATATGGGGTCCAGCCTGACTGAGGTCCACACTAAACCACAAATTCAAACCGCAAGAAGGCAAAGGTGACAGGAGGGAAGTCGATACAAAAGGTTGTTCGCTAATGAATTTGTTTTCTCGATGAAGGAATTGGTCAGTCTTCCTGCGGCGTATGTTGATCATCACAGCCGCAGTCCAAACAAACACGTCCCCGAAGAACTGAATCACGACGGTCTGAGACCTACAGCAGCGCAACTGTTCAAACAGTCAATGCCTGTGCCTTTCAGTGCTCGAGAGAATGACATTTGAGAGTATTGGCCCGGTTGCTATGGGAATCCAACAGAGCGACAGCTGAATAAAATGGAGACGCTTCAAACCTCAAGGCACTGTTCAGACAAACTCCAGACACTGACATCAGAGCCACCGCCGTTTGACTTCAGACTCACGTCTCTTGCACCGCTTTAACAGAAATCGTCCAGATGGCTACAAAACACTCATTTTCAACCTTTAGAGACCAACGTGCTAGGTTTCTTTCTACACAGCAAACAACAGCCACCAGCTGTGGCGGAAGCCCAAACTATTATCTGCCATATTCTAGTGGCGTTTTCCAAAAACCAAGAGTACTTTTCGCATTTCACATGCATTTTCTGGGCCAAAACACAGAAGCTGATCTATCACGTAGCCGTCTATGATTAAATCAAAATGGCTAATGCTTTAAAATGGACCCGAGTTAGAATTAGACACCATATTTAGGTTGGTACGACTGAAGGAAGCCGTGAGGTTGTTCAATGGACCTCATTTCGGAAACAACGAGCAGAACTGATGTAATTTGTCATGTAGATTTTCGCAAACTTGGTTTTATGAACATTCGCAAATTCATTCTGTATGCGCTTAATCTGAATGCAATGATTTCTCTTGAGTTTGTAAATCCAGTCGCGATTAAACGAACTCGCACGCTGGCAGAACGAATTTGGGTAAATAGTTTGTAAAACCAAATTGGTTTTCTTTACGTTTAAGTTCAGCAGTACAATTTAACAGAATTGATTTACAAATTCTGTACACAAATTTGTTCTGCTTGTGTTTAAGTTAAATGAAAATTTACCAAAGAATGGTTTTACGAACATTCGCAAATCCATTATGTGTGCGCGTAATTTGACGAAAGTTATGGACGAAAAAGGACAAAAAGCATGTAAATCTTGTCATGGTTAAATAATGCCAATGAAAGTAAACGCGAGCAGAATTAATTTAAGTAAATAGTTAATTGTTTTCTTTGCGTTTAAGTTCAACAGTACTTGTGCTTGTGTTTAAATTATATGTGTGTGTGTGTCACAATTTGACCAAGAATGTGTAAACGGTTTGCAATTTGCAATTATAATTAGTTTTTTGTAACTATTCAATTCAATGCGACAAATGACAAAATAACTGATCTACGACTGATTAAGAACAATTTGCTTTATTTATGAAACAAGCAATGTACATCATTAATAAATCTATTTTTGCTTAAACTGTCTTACCGAATAAAAAAAAATGTCCATTTACGAAAGATTGCTTTTACGAAAAATTGAGCAAATTCCTACATCATCCATAAATCAATTCTTAAAGTAACATGACACCGAATTAAGAGTTCAATTATGCAAAAGTGTTTTTTTTTTCTTTGCGAATAATCTACAGTATGAATCAAGCTGAACAAATTCCTATCTGCATCGTTCATTAAAATACTGAATAAAAAAACGTAAATTTATGATATACGGATTTATTGCTTCACATAGTAATTGTCACGCACAAAAATAACGTTTTTTGGGCATATTTGTGTTTCATCAACTAAACGCCCGACGCAACAGAACGACCCTGAACAGACTGTTTTCAGTCGCTTCACATTAAATATGGGGTCCAGCCTGACTGAGGTCCACACTAAACCACAAATTCAAACCGCAAGAAGGCAAAGGTGATTGTCTAAGACGAACGAACCAAGGGAAGGTGACATCATGAGAAAAAGAAACACGTCATCTGAGAAAACCACTGCCACTCAATGTCCTGATCTACGGGTCAGCCTTCCCGCTCGATTACATTACAATCAGTACGACACAAATGCCAATAAGTGATACTAGATCAGTCCTCGTCCATGGAGACATCTAAGCCAAGTCTGATCGCTTGCACACAGCGCGTTCGGCAGGGAGCATGAGGTATTTGAGCCCTCGGTCGCAGCCGCTCACACAGAGAGCCATTCAGCCGCCGGAGGTAGGATCAGGCCACGGCTGGAGCTGAGGTAGGTGGAGCTGAGCTTTACTACACCGACTCTGCTGGGCCTCCAAACATCAGACCGCTCACGACTTTACAAGAGTCCGCTAGCATTTTTAGTTCTTGGAAGTGGAAAAAAACAAACAAAAAAAAACACTTTTCAAGCTCGAGCCTGTATTCCTCCATGACGCTTTTAGTTGAAACACAACACGCTTTCCTGATTTCACTGCGTACATGCTAAAAGTTGGGAACTTATCAAAAAAAAGAATAAACGTTCTGACCAGGATTATTGCAAATGATTCCTGTTTTTTTTTTTTTTCATTTACATGTGGACTAATAGTTTTTGCTGATTCAGAATAAATTCAACTCAGTATCTCCGTTATATCTGAGGCCATGTGCACTTAAAAAAAAATGTGCATTTCGAACAAATAAAAGGTGATTAATCATCACATAACAGCCTCTGTTAAGAACTCATAGACACTAGTTATACAGAAACGTCCTCCTGATGCTTCCTGGGATGCAGAACGGCACGACCACCATGATATGTGATTCAGTCTTATTGTTTGTCAGCCGTTTTATTGCGAGTGCCGACACAGCGCTACAGAGGAGGAGGAGCGTCCGAATACGGCGAACGAACGAACATTCGCACGCACAAACTCGTCCTGATCGTCCACTGCCCGACGACTCCGTGGCTTTCTTTCGCTGCTGGATAGTGAAGAACAAAAGAGGCTTCTTTGGGACTCTTAATAACTTCCATATTTTTTTTTTTTTTTCTCATAG